TGCCCTCCCTCCATTCGACCTTGTCTTGACAATAATAAACTAATTATCAAATACTCTTCATTTTCTTGACTCAGTGACAATGATAATAAATCAGTAATACACTCTAAAAATAAACAAACAAACAAACAAAATGAATAAATAAATCATATTAAATACTTTTAAATCCTGTTACATGATCAATGTGAGTATGTATACAACAACTAACGAACTTCAATAATCCAAACCAATTAACCTATTAATTAATAAATAATTAACAATTGATTAATTAATTATTAATTACTAACGTTTGATGATTGAGATATTTTTATGATATTCTTCCAACACAATGAATGACCCATTAACATGGCAACCTGGAGAAAGAGAGGGAGAGAGAAAGAGAGAGAGAGAGGAAGAGAGAGAAGGAGAGAGGATTAATAAAGTGACAAATCGTTTACTTTGCTCAGTAATTTTGACTTTCCTTCTTCAATACATGACAAAGTCACCTCATTCTGTCTAGTCAGCATTTCTCTCACTACAAAAAAACACAAGCATTGTCATGGCAACACTACCACCGCTTACCGTTACAAAATGGCGGACGTGAGATGATAGAGGAAAGGAGGCCATCAAGAAACAGCTGCAATGAGAGACCGAGTTCATTACAGACACTAACTATTATATTAATAATAACTGGATCAGATGAACAATGAACATCTCCTATTGAACAAAATACATGTACAGTGTGGCCTCCATAATAAGGACACTTTTAAAATAAGGACACCTTTATAATGAGGATATTTTGTAATGTCTAAATTGGTATAAGCCTATACAAAAGTACCTCTGAAATGAGGACACATCTGTATTACAGACAGGTAGTGTGGGCCCAATGATGTCCTTAATAAAGAGGCTACACTGTACATGTATTAAGGACAGGTAGTGTGGGCCCAATGATGTCCTTAATAAAGAGGCTACACTGTACATGTATTAAGGACAGGTAGTGTGGGCCCAATGGTGTCCTCAATAAAGAGGCTACACTGTACATGTATTATGGACAGGTAGTGTGGGCCCAATGGTGTCCTTAATAAAGAGGCTACACTGTACATGTATTAAGGACAGGTAGTGTGGGCCCAATGGTGTCCTTAATAAAGAGGCTACACTGTACATGTATTAAGGACAGGTAGTGTGGGCCCAATGGTGTCCTTAATAAAGAGGCTACACTGTACATGTATTAAGGACAGGTAGTGTGGACCCAATGGTGTCCTTAATAAAGAGGCTACACTGTATTAAATAAAATGTTACTTACTTTGAACAGTTTCCATTAGAATATTGTTACTACATTGAGCAGTGGAGTTGAGTCCATTATCATTATTATACTCATTATATTGACTGAAGGAAAGAGATAGTAATACTCTAATAATACCAGCTGGTAATTCATGAGAGGAGGAGGAGACTAATGATGTAATGAAATATTCACAAA